AGATTTAACAAGGATGCAGTGGGGATGTGGTGGGAAGGAACTGAGGATGCAGTGGAGATTTAACAAGGATGCAGTGGGGATGTGGTGGGAAGGAACTGAGGATGCAGTGGGGGTTCAACAAGGATGCAATGGGGGAGCAACGGGAATGAACTGAGGCTGTAGTGGGGGTGGAACTGGAATGCAGCTGGGATGCAGTGGGGATGAACTCAGGATGGAGCGGGGATGGAACTGGGATGCAGAAGGGATAAAGTGAGGATGCAATGGGAATTGAACTGGGATGTAGTGCAGTGGCAGTGGGGATGCAGTGAGGATGCAGTGGGAACTCACTGGAGATGCAGGGAGATGCAGTGGGGATGTGCTGATGAATGGGAATTCAGTGGGGCTGTGGTGGGAACAAACTGAGGATGCAGTGGGGATTTAGGGAAGATCCAGTGGGGACACAGTGGAAACACAGTGAGGACACAGCAGGGATGCAATGGGGAAGGAGTGGGGATGTGGTGGGGATGCAGTGTGAAAGCAATGGGGATTTAGTGGGAATGCAATGGGAAGGAACTGAGGATGCAACAGGGATTCAGTGAGGGTGTGATGGGAATGAACTGAGAATGCAGTGGGAATTCAGTGGGGCTGCAGTGAGGACTCGGTGAGGATGCCCTGGGGCTGCAGTGGGGAAGCAGCTGCCAAGTGCAGGTGCTGTGCAGCTCCTTAGGGCCCGGAGGTTCCTCAGGGCTGCCTCGTTAGGGGGGCTGAGCAGGCTGGCAGCAGGGGGACGGGCTCTCCCCCTCTGCCCCCCTCTGCCGGGGTGCTCTGCCCAGGGAGGTGCAGGCTGGGGGTCCCCCCATGCTCCCAGGCTGGGTGAGGGCAGAGTGCAGGCAACAGTGGAGCCAGGACAAGGGTGCAGGCAGGGTGTGGGTGGGCTGCAAGTAGGGCACGGAGAGAGTGTGGGCAGGGGGAGGGCACAGAGAGGGTGCAGGCTGCAGGAGCAGTGCGTGGGCAGGGTGCAGGCAGGGTGCAGCTGCAGGGCACAGGGTGCAGGCAGGGTGTGCAGAAGGTGCAGGCAGGGCACCGGCAGGGTGCAGGCAGGGCTCAGGGTGTAGGGTGCAGGCAGGGTGCAAGTAGGGCACAGGGTGCAGGCAGGGCTCAGAGTGCAGGGTACAGGAAGGGTGCAAGAAGGGCACAGGGTGCAGGCAGGGTGCAGGCAGGGCACCGGGTGCAGGCAGGGCACAGAGTGCAGGCAGGGCTCAGGGCACAGGCAGAGCTCAGAGTGTAGGGTGCAGGCAGGGAGCAAGCAGGGCTCAGGGTTCAGGGTGTAGGGTGCAGGTAGGGAGCAGGCAGGGCACAGGGAGCAGGCAGGGCACAGAGTGCAGGCAGGGCACAGGGAGCAGGCAGGGCACAGGGAGCAGGCAGGGCACAGAGAGCAGGCAGGGCACAGAGTGCAGGCAGGGCTCAGGGCACAGGCAGGGCTCAGGGTGTGGGGTGCAGGCAGGGCCAGGCCCAGGGCTGACTGCTCTCTCCTTGTTGCAGGGGCCGCCAGCCGCTCCCCGGACCCCCCTCGCCACCGGCCCCCCCCGCCGCCGCCCGCCGAGGCCCAGGAGCCCCCGCTTTGCCCCATCGCCCCCCGCATGCGACCCCCGGAGCCCCGCAGCAGCCAGGCCCTGCCCCCACCCCCGGCTGCCCCGCCCCGCCCCGGAGACCCCCCACCCCAATAAACGCCCCTGCCAGAGCCCCGGGCTGTCCTTGGTGCCGTTCCATGTCCCCGGCGGAGGGTGAGGGCACCGCGGGGCACAGCGGGGAGGGGCAGGGGCTGGTGGTGCCCAGCAGTGATGTCACACGTGCGTGTGGGACATCGTGCGGGCACATGTGACATCACTGCCAGCCCTGTGACGGCGGGAGTGACATCACGCAGCTGCACAGGGCGTGGTGTGACGTCGCTGGTGGGTGGGAGAACACTCGTGGGGTGCTCCTGCCCCGAGGTGGGTGGTGACATCACTGCTGGACGTGTGACAGCTGCTGTGACACCACAGAGGTCTGTGTGATGTCACTGCTGGATGTGTGACACCATACAAGGGTGTGTGACGTCAGTGTGGGATGTGTGACACCATAGACGTGTGTGTGATGTCACTGTGGGATGTGTGACACCACAAAGGTCTCTGATGTCACTGTGGGATGTTTGACACCATAAAGGGATGTGTGACACCACAGAGGCATCTGATGTCACTGTGGGATGTGTGACACCATAAAGGGATATGTGATGTCACTGTGGGATGTGTGACACCACAGAGGTCTGTGTGATGTCACTGTGGGATGTGTGACACCATAGAGGTGTGTGTGATGTCACTGTGGGATGTGTGACACCACAAAGGTCTCTGATGTCACTGTGGGATATGTGACACCACAAAGTTCTGTGTGATGTCACTGTGGGATGTGTGACACCATACAAGGGTGTGTGATGTCACTGTGGGATGTGTGACAGCACAGAGCTGTGTGACATCACTGCTGGATGTGTGACAGCACAGAGGTGTGTGTGATGTCACTGTGGGACGTGTGACAACATCCAGGGGTGTGTGATGTCAATGTGGGATGTATGACACCATAGAGGTGTGTGATGTCACGTGGGATGTGTGACAACATCCAGGGGTGTGTGATGTGTGGGATGTGTGACACCGTACAGGCATGTGTCACGTCACCACTGGCTGTCTGATGCTGGGTGTGACATCATGCAGGCCTGCACGACATCACTCATGGACGTGTGACATGCCTGTATGGCATCAAACAGGCATGACTTGAAAGCCGTGATGTCACACACTCGTGGTGACATCGTGGTGACAGACAGGTCACAGGGTGTGAAAACACACGTGCACCACAGTGTCACCTCACCCCGAGGACCTTGGCTGGTGCTGTGACGTCACCCCGCCCTGTGACATCACCCAGAAGGCTGTGGGACCCCCCCCAACCCCGAAATCCCCACAAACTCACCCAAAGCGCCGGTGCTGGGCAGCACAGCAGCTTTTAATCAGAAAACTCCTAAAAAAAGTGTGTCCCCCACCCGCCTGTCACCCCCCACCCCCCACTTTTAATGCTCTTTTATGAAAAATCCTCCTTTCCACTGATATATAGATATATAAAAAAAAATAAGAAGCCCCACACCCCCCTTGCTGGGGCAGGGCCAGGGCTGGTTTGGGGGGTGATATTTACGGGGAGACTCAGCCCCCCCAAACCCAGGGGGCCCCTGCACCCATTAAACATCCCCACGACGAGTCCAGCTGCTCGAGGCATGTGTTAAAAAGAAAAGGAACCCAAAAAGGGACAAAACCACCCCGGAAAACGGGGGTGTGTGGGGTTGAGGGGTGTGTGTGTGTGTGTGTGTGCTGGCTCTGGGCACCCCCGGTGTTCGAGGGGAGGTGCTCACACCAAGGAGCCGGCTCGGCTCTGCGCCGGCACCATGACCGGGACGGCGCCCGCCCGGGCCAGGCTGGAGGGGGGCAACGCCCCCGGGGGGGCGGCCGGGTCCTGGTGGCGCCGGGGGGTCCCGTTAACGGCGGGGGGCGGCAGGTTGGGGGGGCGGCCCCCTCCCCGGGGCGGGGGTCCCCGGTAGCTGCCGGTGGCGGTGAGGATGGAGGCGGTGTCAGAGGGGGGTCTGGCCGCGTAGAGTTTGTCCCGGGGGCCGGCGATGGAGGACAGGGTGCTGGTTTTGGAGATGGTGTCCGAAGCCGGTCTCCTCGCCCACGACGGGGTTTTGGGCGCCACAGCGTCCTCCCTGCCAAGAGGGGAGACTGTCGGAGAGAGTGGCACCGGGAACCCCGACATTCCCCGCCCTGGCGTCCCCTCCCCGAGCAGCGGGGCCGCCCAGGTTGAGTAGAGTTCCTGGACCCCCAAAGAGGGGGACAAAAGGGAATGGGGGGAAAACAGAGGTGGAAAACGCCCTCGTTAACTCTGAAACCTAATGATAACTCGACAGAGGTGGAACCCTCATCCCCCCCTTGTTAACTCTGAAGCCTAATGATAACTGGCCAGAGATCAGTAACTCCCTCCCCACTAATTCTGAAATTTAGAAAAGATTGGCCCGAGGTGGGAACCTCCTCCTCCCCCATTAACGCTGAAACCCAGCGAGGGCGATTTGAACCTCCCCCACGAGAGGAGCCTCACTTGATCTCGTTGGCTCCCTCCTCCTGGCTGTCACGTTTCTTCCTCCTGTAGCCAACAACCCGCTGGGCAAAGAAGATGATGGTGGCGAGGGCGCCCAGGGAGCCCAGCACGGCGCCGGCGATGACTGCTTTAGTGCTCGCTGCCAGAGAGACGCGGACAGGTCCCTTAATCCCACAGGGATCCCACGGGGACCTCATGGGGACCGTGTCCCCCTCTCCCCGACCCTGCGGACACGTACTCACTTGACTGCACCTCCAGGACGATTCTGCACTTCTCAAAACCCGCTCGGTTTTCGGCTGTGCAGACGTAGAGACCCGACATTTCCAGGGAGAGGTTGGTCAGCCTGAGGGTGCCCCTGGCCAGGTCTGCGGGCGGAAAATTTGGGTTCTGCCGCACAGTCCCCCCCCCTCACCGCCCCCTCCTCGTGCAGGCAGTGGGCAGGAATCCCCCAGCTGAAGCTTCAGGGGATATTCCAGCCCGGCCGGTCCCCCCAGAGGTGCCCCCTTACCCTGGGCCGGGGGGAAGAAGACCTGCGGGGTGGGGTCCGTGCGCTCCCACTGGTACGTGGGCGAGGGTTTCCCCTTCTTGGAGGAGCAGCTCAGGGTCACGTTGGCGCCCACGGTGGGGGTGCCGTGCAGTTGGCAGGCGGGGACGGCCGGCGGCACTGCGGGTACCAACGTTAGTCCCGAGGGTCGCCACGGGGAGGCCGAGGGGAGCCGCGGAGTCCGGCGGAGCCTTACCCAGGACGGTGAGGTTGATGACGCCGACATCCCTGCCCTCGGGGGCACCGTCATCCACCACGTTGACGGTGCACATGTACTGCCCCGAGTCGCGCTCCCGGGTGGCGTTGATGACCAATGAGATGTTGTGGCTGAGGACTGGGTACAGGAACCCCACCCGGGACTTCAGGTCCGTCTCCCCCACCTTCACCGTGCCGTCCAGGTACTTCAGGATCTGCACGGGGGAAAACACCCCCTTGGTCCCCTTGGCCCCTCCGGAGAAGGCGAGAAAAGCCCCACAAATCCCATATTCTGTGGAGCAGCAGCTGCTGCAGGAGCCCCCTCCAAGCCTCATTTGCCCTGAGCATCCTGAACGTGGGGACTGTGGGAACATGGGAACATCTCCCCACCATGGGCACCAAAACCATCCCCCCCCCATCGTGGGCATCTCCCCCTCGTGGGCACCACAAGTGTCCCCCCATTGTGGGCATTTCCCCATTGTTGTGGGCACTATGAGCATCCTCCAAGGGCATTTCCCCATCCTGGGCATGACAAGCACCTCCCTACGCAGGCATCCTGGGCATGCCCCCAGTGTGGGTGTCTCCCTTCATGGGCCCAATGATCACCTCCCTATCCTGGGCACCTCCAGATCATGAGGAACATGGTCATCTCCCCCTGAAAGTATTTCCTGCTGTGGACACCACAAGCAGCTCCCTGCTGCAGGCACTGTGGGCATGACCTCATTATGGGCATCTACAGATCACCATGGGCACTCCCCCTCAAGGGCACTGTGCCATGGTGGGCACCACGGTTATCACCCCATGGGGGGCCCTGTGAGCTTCACCCCATCATGGCCACTACCTCATCATGGGCAACATGAGCTTCCCCTCGTCCTGGACACCACCCCATCACGAGCACCACAGGCAGCTCCCCACTGTAGGCACCATGGGTTCATCTCCATCAGGAGCATCCACCTGTCGTAGGTACCATGGGCACCAGGAGCATCTCCCCCACCACAGGAATCTCCCCATGGTGGTCACCATGAGCTTCATCCCATCATGGGCAACTCCTCACCACGGGCACCGCGGTGGGAACCACACGAACCTCCCAATGAGCATCCCCCCACTGTGGGCATCTCCCCATCATGGGCACCATGTCCTCATCATGGACACCTTCCCATGGTGGGCATCTCCCCATCATGGACACCATGAGGTTCCCTCCATCGTGGGCACCTTCCCAGGGCGGGCACCATGAGCATTCCCCCATCACAGTCACCTCCTCATCCCGGGCATCCTCCCACCATGGGCACCGTGGCCACCACTCCGTGGTGGGCACCATAAGCTTTCCCCCCATCGTGAGCACCACTGTATCACCACGAGGACACCACGAGGCCCCCCCTCTATGGCCACCTCCCAGCTTGTCCCCTCTGTCCCCACCCCCGTCTCACCTGGAAGGGGCCGGCATTCCCCTTGTGCAGCAGCCAGAGGATGTAGGGTTTCTCCTGGGAGTGGCTGGTGTACCAGACGGGCAGCACCGCCTGCTGCCCCTCCACGGCGAACACCGAGTCCGTCCCCACGTGCACCTCCAGCACGGCTGAGGAGACACCTGCCCGTGGGAAATCGGGATGTGACTCAACCCCAGGTGCCACTTGTCCATAGAACCTCCTCACTCGCAACGGAAAACCCAACAACCTCAGGTTATCACCAGGAAGCTGGGCCAGGAGGACATTTTGCCTCCTTCCCCAGCATGGGAAGGGCTTTCCGGCTGCTCCAGAGGATGCAAGACAATGCTGTTTCCTCCCATCCCACTTCCCCCTGTTGCCCAGGATGGGAAAAACATCCAGCAGTGGCCAGACACCCCCTTTACCTCAGTATTGGGGCATCCCCAACCCTCCCATGATGTTGCACCACATCCCATGGGATTTATTTAGAGCAGGGGCCCCCATATCCACCCCACAAGCCTTCCCCAGCATCCCCCCTTTTTGCTGCCAGTGCTAAACTGGGATGATTCATGGGTGGTCTTCCCTGACCTCGATCCCGTTCCATCCCAAATATCCCATCCCAATCCCCCCATCCCCGTGTCCCCTGCACCCCAGCATCCCCCCAAACTCCACTGGATGGAGGTGATGGGATGTGAGTGGGTACCACGGGCCGGAGAGGGATGCTTGGGATTATTCCCCAGCTTTGCCTGGGAGGCTCAGCCAGAAAATTAATCGGCTCAGGGAGGCTGAGTTTGTGCCGGGGTTGCTTTGTTTTTCCCGGGGGCACATCGAGGCCCCGCATCCCGGCGGCTCCATCCCTGCATCCCGCCCATCGATCTGTGTCCCCGGCTGGCCCCGCTCCCGCCAGAGCCCCAGGGATGCTCCCGACTGGGACGCAGGGTGGGAAGGATGATGCTACCCCCTCATCCCAAATCCTGGCTTCGGAGGGAAAACCCCCTGGGTCTGAGGGATTTCGGGAGCCTCCAAAGGCCTCGCACTTTTCCCTAAGAGCTCAGAGGTTGTAATTGGATTTTTCCAGGGTGGGAAGAGGAAAACAAGGCACTGTGGAGTATTTTTAGCCTCCTCCCGCATCCGTTCATCCCCCCACCCGGCAAGGCATCGGCGCTGCTTCCTGACGGAGCCTTCCAGCTCCGGGCAGGAAACTCTGCTCCGGCTGATAAGTCTTCTCAGGAATTAAAAAAAAAAAAATAATTAAATTTCCCTTTCTCTGGTGAAAAACCGGGAGAAATCAGGCCTGGTCTGGTGAGGATGCGTAAAAATAGCTCACCCGGGCTAAGAACATAAACCCTTAAGTCCTGGAGGGGGTGGGGGGGATGCCCGAGGCACCTGCGGGTCCCAAATCATCGATATATTATTAGTATTATTAATTACATCAAGCTGTGGTATCGAATCCGACAGGCAGCGTGGAAAAATAATGCTAATTACAGTGTATTTATATGTAGCTATACAGATAACTGTATTAAATTTAGGGAGTGCGGAAGGAAACATGAGATGGCGACTCATTAAATTGGAATTTCCAGAATAAAATAGATCTTCGAGAACATATAATTTATAGCAATTATAAAATAGGTAGATTTTTGTGAGAATAGGGATAATAGTGGTGATGTGAGAGTTATAATGGTGCTCAGAATAATGAGAGTAATGATCAAAGTGAGAATAATAATTAGAAAGGTGATAATAATAACGATAAAAGTGATATTAATAATGATAAGAGTGATAATGATAATAATAATTGTAATTTCAATAGCGATTATAATAATTACAACAGTGATTACAACAATTATAAATCATAATAATAATTATAACAGTGATAATAATGATTAAAATAATAATTATATTAATAATTATGAACACGGTTATATAGTTCATTAATTTTGCAGCTGGAATCATTAAATGATGCCACAGCCCCTAAACATTCCCAACAGCTGGGAAAATCCAGGTGTTTTCAGCCTGGCTCATCCATTTTTAGGGATAAAATTGTGTTAAACTGGGATAATCTAAAGGAAAATAGATGATATCCAACAATTATATCGTGATTTCTACTGGAAAAGAGATAACAGGTTATACACACCTTGTGGAATAATTACGAATTTGATTGTAGTTTAATGAAAATAATTATAATAGTTTTAATATTTATAGTTATAGATTATATTATAATAATTATTATAACAGTTATGATGATGATATTTGTTTATATTATAATAGTTATAAGTAATAGCTATTATAATGATAATAATGATAATAAAATAGTGAAAATAGAGGAGATTATGATGATGATGATGATGACGATGATGAAGATAATAATAATAATAATAATAGTAATAATAATAATAATAATAACAATAAAGAGGTTAATTAATGATGTAGATGCCATTGATAAGTGACTCCTAAACCCCTGTGCATCCCCAACACCTGGGAAAATCCAGGCTTTTCATCCCAGTCCCTCCATCAGGAGCAGTTTTGGCCCCGATGCTGGGCCAAGGGGCGCCGAGGATCCCCCAGTGCACTGGGGAGGGGTGGATGGAGCTGGATCCCAAGGCCGCTCCCTCCCCCAAATCCCCTTTTTCGAGCCGCATTCGCCCCAAATTCCCCATCTCAGGCAGATGTGACCCTAAAGAGGGCTGGGAGAGCCGGGGCTGGAGCTGCAGGCACGGGAGGGACCGAACCCTCTGGCACAGCCCCAGCTTTGGCCACCTCGACGCTCCAAATCCTCTAATGCTTTAACCAGATCGAAAAAATTAAGCCGCTCTCGGCGCTCATACGTGTTTGGGGGGGCACCTCCTGCCTGCTCTCTGCGCTCAAAAACCTGGATTCTGATCCAGCTGCCCTGAGCTAAACACCTGCCCGGCTGCCTTCCCTCCGCTCCAGCCCATCTGCTGGGATTTTTTTTTTCCATACGGAAAACCCAAATGAATTTAAATTTACCTTTAAAAATACCTTTACTTGTTTCGTTTTGTTTTTTTTACCCATGGAATAAATATCTTTTAAATTACCGTGGCAAACACTTTAAAAAAGTTTTTTTTTCCCCTATTGAAAGAAAAAAAAAAAAAAACCACAAACACTTTAAATTTGCCTTTGAATTTTTTCCCTATGGGGGGAAAAAAAAAAATCACATTTAAATCCCTGCAACCTCGATATTAATCCCAGTGCTGATATCGACCACCCCATTCTCATCCAAAATCTCATCATTTCAACCCCAAAAAAGCTGTTTCCTGGTTCACAGTGCAGCCTGAACCCCTCAAAAAAGCAACACCCCCAGGCCCCCCCAAGCCTCTGAGCCATTTACTGTACGGGGGAATTAAATCCCGGAGGCGGTTGGGGTTTGATGACCCCGGTTGATAGGATTAAGGCGCCGGAGTCATGTGAAACCCAGACCCAAATTAAATCCCAAAAGACCAAGCTCGGGATTTAAAATACACAGCGGGAATCTGGCCGGAAAAAGGACCCCTAGAAAAGCTTGGAAAAAAGGTCAAGGAGCATCTCGGCGCTGCGACGCAGCCACTCGCCTCCCTTTTTCTTTTTATTTTTTTTTTTTTCTCAATTATTTTTGGGGATTTTTTTTTTCCTCTTCTTCCCTTAAACTCCAACTATTTATAAACGGGCAGATAGGAGATGCCTGACTGCGGAGCAGTGTCCGTTGGGAAAATCCACAACGGCATTTCTCACGACCCCGGGGGTGGGGGGGGCAGGAGGAGCCGTATCCTCCGGAGAGACCAAATTTGGGGAAAAAAAATTAAATAAAGCAATAATCATACGTGACTTTGCTATAGATGGAAACACGCTTCAACCCCTGCTGGGGGAGATGGAGGCGGGGATGGGATGGGAATGGGAATGGAATAGGATTAGGAATGGGATAGGGATGGGATTGGGATGGGTTGGGGATGAGATTGGGGGTGGGATTGGGGATGGAGCGGGTCAGGGAAAGGGATTGGGGATGGGATTGAGGGTGGGATAGGATAGAGAAAGGGATTTGGGATAGGGTTGGGGATGGGATTGGAAAGGAAAAGGGGTTGGGAATGGAACTGGGGATAGGGTGGGACGGAATTGGGATGAGGACAGGGATGCCAAACATCACCCCTCATTTTGCTTTTCCCCATCACGATCCCATGCAGATCCCACAGGATGAGGATGGATTGTTTGAGAGCAAATTTAAAGGAATCCCACACATTTGGGGTTCAAAAGTGACTTTTTGCTGCATTTTTGGGCTCTTGGTCCCCATAACGTCGCATCCCAGGGCTCGGGCATGACTCGTTTTGGGGTAATCCATCACGACTCCATGCAAAAAACACCGTTGGGATGTGGCAAAGGAACACCCTGGTGGGATTTAAGGACTAAGTGACCCTGTGCCTCGTCCCAACACCCTCCAATTAATTTTTATCAGGGAAGAAAACCTTCAAGGAGGGACAAGTGGCGGCTCCGGGACCCCCACCCAGCACCCCGCTGGGAGGAAATGCTGCTGCCATTGTTTTTGGGGCCGTTTCCTTTCCCCAAAGGCCTTTCCTTGGCTGGGAACGCCAAAGGACATTTCCCTTTGGAGCAACTGTGGCGTTTCAAAAAAAAACTCAAATAGGGTGGGAAAAATAGGGAAGGGAAGGAGGGAAAAACTCGTGAACAGAGAAGGGTTGAGACCCCTCACCTCAAAACCAGCTGGGGTGGCTGTGGAGCACCAGTAAACAAGGGAAAAGGAAAGCAAATGGATTTTTTTGCAGCTCGACGCCGGAGGGGAATTATCGGCTCCGACACATCGGAGTCCCCGGGGTGTCCCTGCATGGCTTTGGGTTTGGGGGTGCTGGAAGGTGCCATTTGGCAGCTTCAAGGTAAAAAATTGCTTTTCCCAGGGGGATCCAGATTTTCCCCACTCGGGACACCCCTAGATTGGGCCCCCCCACCTCCCAACCTGCCTGCTGGGGTGGGGGGACTGGGGCCACAGACAGGGGCAGGTGGGTGCTGTGACCCCCCCCGGTACCCCCGGGTCCTGCCCGATGCCACCCTAAAGCTTTCCAGGGTCCTATCCTGTGGTCCCGGGCTCCCGTGCGTCTTGCAGGATGTCCCGGGTTGCTCCACACCCTGCCCCGGTGACCCCCGCGGTACCCCCGGGTCCTGCCCGATGACCCCGCAAAAGCTTTCCCATGTCCTTCCTTGTGCATCCCGCGCCTCCCGACTCCTGCCGGGTGCTCCCCCGCGGTACCACCGGGTCCTGCCCCGTACCCGCCGCGTCCTGCGCGGTGCCACCGCTCCTCCCGCGTCTCGCCGAGCGCGGCCCCGGCACCGCCCGGCTCCTGCCCGGTGCGCTCCGGGTGCCGCGTCTTGGCCGGTGCATCCCCCGCTACCCCCGCGTCCCGCTCGGTGCGCCCCGAAAGCTCTCCCGCGTCCTGCCCGGCGCCCCCCGGTTCTCCCGCATCTTGTCGGGTGCCCCTCCCGGTACCCGCCGCGTCCCGCCCGGTGCCCCCCGGTGCCCGCGGGGCTCACCCAGCAGCGCCGCCAGCGCCAGCGCCGCCCGCCGCAGAGCGCCCATGGCCGGAGCCGCCGCCGCAGCAGGTGCCGGGGGGGGACCGGGAGGGACCGGGGGGGACCGGGAGGGGCCGCGGGGCGGGGCCCGCAGGTGGGGGAGGTGCCTGACGGAGAGGGCGGGGTGTATCCCCACCCCACCCCATTGGGGTGTCCCATCCCAGGCAGTGACAATCCCCCCCGCTCCCCCCAGCCCACCCCTCCCCGAGGTCCAACCCCGTCTCCACCGTCTTTGCACCGATTAATTAATTATATGGGTTATTATTTATTACATTAGGGTTAAAGGGGACGTGGTGCAACGTGGCACATCAATGTCACACAGCCCCCCCCGGAAGGACACAGGGACCCCCAAACCCCCCGCATCCCCATCCCCATCCCCATCCCTCCCACACCGGCAGGGCGGAGCATCCCATCCTGCATCCCTCACCCTCATCCCACCACCACCCTTCGGAGAAACGCATCGCTCCCGAAAAATAAATAAAATGCCAAAAAAAGGGCAATTTTGACACCCTGGTTTACAGGAGCCCCAGGGTGGATCCTCCCTGGCTCAGCCAGGGTTATCCCGGTCCTCGATCCGAGCAGGGTCAGACCTCGAAGCCCCAGTGGAGATTAGACACCGGCGGAGGAGGAGGAGGAGGCGGTGGGGGCAGAATTAATCCCTTCTCGCCCTCTCCTCCCCCCGTAAATCCAGGCTGGCCGCCGGGATTGCAGGATTTGGGGAGCGAGGAGGCTTTGGGGGATCGACCTGGCTTGATCCCACTGGGAACCAACCTCTCCCTGCTGACATTCTCACCTTCTGCTCCATCCAACGCTTCCGACTTGGCAGCGGCTCTTTGGGGCAACTCTCCCTGTGAGGGGGTGATTCCCTCTATTTTGAGGACTGGGAGGGTGGGTAACCTACCTCCTCCCCTTCCTCACTCCATCTCAGGCCTCAGCCACATCCAAAGGCAACGTCGGCTTCAAGTCAGGCAGTGATCCTCACTTTTTCAAGGATTCTGAGCATCTCTGCAGGGAAAGGAACTGGCTCTGGCGGCACCAAAATAAATAAATAAATAAACACCTCCTGCAATAATGAACGAAGCCCTCATGGGAATATCCACAGGGAAGAGCACGGCACCTCCCCAGACTCCCCCTCGGAGGAGGAGAAGGATGTGTGGAAGCCCATAAGTGTTTGCTTGATTTTATTAGGACCGACACATTCATCGTATGTCACAACGTCACCGATGGATGAGCTCCAGGAAATAAAACCCCCCGGCCCCGGCGGCTCCGCGCGGGGCTGGACCAGGAACACGCTGCAAAGGCATAAATGCGTCCTCCCCCCACCCCCCTCCCGCCCCGTCCCCCTCCCCACCTTCCCCTTCTCACAGCTTTGATTGTATCCATAAGCAATGGGTCGACAAAAAAACAAATAATAAAAAATAACCATCACGTTTTCCCAGCTGCCAGGTTATTCTCACAGAGAGTTATGGAACTCCATAAGGGAAAAAAAAAAAAAGGGGAGCCAAAAGGAGAAGAAGAAAGAAAAAAGAAAGAAAAAAAGAAAGGAAAAAAGAAAGGAAAAAGAAAGAAAAAAGAAAAACAAAATGAAAGGGAAAAAAGAAAGAAAAATAGAAAGGAAAAAAGAAAGAAAAAAAGAAAGAAAAAAAGAAAAACAAAANAAATAGAAAGGAAAAAAGAAAGAAAAAAAGAAAGAAAAAAAGAAAAACAAAATGAAAGGAAAAAAAGAAAGAAAAATAGAAAGGAAAAAAGAAAGGAAAAAGAAAGAAAAAAAGAAAAACAAAATGAAAGGAAAAAAAAGAAAGAAAAAAAGAAAGGAAAAAAAAGAAAGAAAAAAAAAGAAAGAAAAAAAGGGAAAATAAAAATAATAAAAATCCCCCAAAATTAAAAGAAACAAAAGAAAAAGAAAATATCAAAATGAAAAGGAAATTAAAAAAAAAAAGATAAAAAAGAAAAAAGGAAAGAAGATAAAAAAAGAAAAAAGAAAAAGTTAAACAAAAGAAGATAAAAAAGAGGAAAGGAAAAGAGATAAAAAAGAGAAAAGGAAAGAAATAAAAAAGAAAAGAGAAAGGAAAAAAGAGGAACAGAGAAAGAAGAAAAATAATGAGAAAAAAGAGAAACAAGGTATAAATAAGAGGAAAATAGTGTTTAAAAAAAAGAGAATAATAAGAGAAAAATAAAGCGAAAAATAAAAGAGAAAAAAATACGGAGAAAAAATTAAAAAGGCCAGGAATTATTTTAATGTTTAAAAAAATAAAATAAAATAAAAGCAGATATGGCAACGCTACTGAGGAAGTGGAATACGTCACGGAACCCAAAGTCTTTGCAGGCAACACTGTTCAGAGAGAGGAGAACACTCGATGGTGAAAAAAGTGAAGTTCTAAATTATATACAAGATATCTAAGGGTGGCTTTGAAAAACAGTCCCCGGGCCGTCGGGGGTTCCCTCGCCGTTATCTATTGCTTATTGATTCAGATCCAGAATAACACTTAGAGACGGATGCGTCCGGATGAGACACCGTGGAATAAAGGAAAGACCAAACCCCCAGTTTCCGTACGAAAACGCCGCGTGCGCGAGCTCGTCCCGTGTGGAATGTACCGACCGCCGTCTCACGGGCCGGGGGCTCCTCCTTGCCGCGCCGCTCCCGCGGGAAACCGGCCGGCGCGGGGAGAGCCGGGCCCGGCGCGTGGGAAGCGCCGCGCGAGCCTCCGCGCACCCCAACGCGCGGGGAAGTCCGACGCGCCCGGCTGTGAACGGACAGGATCCGAGTGAGATGGAAAATGGGGCGGAAAAGCCCTGATCCTTATGAAGGACGAGACTCAGTTGTTAAATTTTAAGGGGTACCCGATGGCTTTTTCCAGGCACTCTACCAAAGAGCCGGCGGACAGAAAATCCCTCTCCACTTCCACAAATTTGATGTAGATGGATTTGGGCGAGACGCCGGGCTCTACGACGCAGTTCTGAGATAAAAAGGCGTTGATCCCGACCCAATCTTTGCTGAAGGTTTTGGTGTTTGCCTGGAAGTGTAAAAACAGGCACTGCTGGAGAGTCCGGACCTCAGCGATGCCAAGGTAACAATAGATAATCCGGGCGGATTCCATATCCACCCGGAGGGAGGCCTGCGGAGAGGGGACCTCCAGCTCCCCTGGAGTCTCATTGCTGGGGTCAGGCGCCCGGTGCTCGGCCAGAGGGGAGGGGGGCTTCTCGTGGCACTCCTCGTATCCGATGGCGTACAGGCCAGGGCTTTTGGGGATCCCTCCCGGCAATAAATACTGCACCACGTTCCCCCCGGTGGGTTTGGAGTGAGCGATGGGAATCCAGTCGATCTCCATGTGCAGCTCCAAGCATCGGGCTTCGCTGATGGTGATCTCCAGGAATTTGTAGTAAACGTTTTTCCAGTTCATTTTCTGCACTCGGGTCATGATCACCCGACCCTCGGGTTTTTCCGAGTTGAAGTATTCCCGGAGCCGCTTGCCGAGGGGGACCTGGGAGCTGATCTCTGCGTAGTGGTAACGGATATCCTCCTTCCAGCGGGTGTTGTACCCGATGCCAAAAATGGCCAGTTTGTTAGAAAGATGGAGCCTGGAGAAGTCCGTCCAGCTCTGAAACAGCTCCCACTTCAACTGGACCGACTCCAAGATTTGCATAATGTTCTGCATGACGTCACGCTTCCTGGAGATTAAGGAAGAGGGAGAGAAGGATAAAGGCGTCAGAGCTGGAAAACCATCCCGGCAAAAACACCGATCTTTGGAAAACATTAATCTCAATCGGCTTTCTCAGCTGATTTTTACGATTACTATAAATATTGCTGGGGGAGTTTATGGACTAAAATAACCCCCTGATGGGTTTGGGGGATTTTTTTAATTAATCTTGGCAAAATCAAAACAAGCCCAACCCAAACTCCTCCCAACATCAAGGCAGCTCCAAGGAAACATGTGTCTGGCATTGCTGAATAAAACCACACCTAATTACTGGGTCATTCTTTCCATTGCCACGTGGTCCATGTGCTGCATCCCCAATTTACAACTGCCACTCCAAAGGCTTCCACCTCATTGTTATCCCAAGAGTAATGCCAGCAAACAGGACTATTAATTGTAAAAACCCCCATGGAAGCATCAAGCTGCTCCAAAGGGCTCGGTCCCAGTGCTGGGATGGAAACATGGCTCAAGTGACCAACACCCTGGAGTAGAAGATACACCCAGACACATTCTCGATCCTGTGGGATCAACAGTGGGAATTCCTCTGGATAGGCAATTAAAAAATCCCCATGCTCCCAAAGAGCTATTTGCACTCCCAGTAGTGAGGTTCCATGGAGTGGCTGACACTGGCAGAGAGCATCCACGTGCACCTGTGGTGAGCTGGAGCAGCTTCCTCTGGGATGAATGAGACCATCAGGGTGTAATTAGCTGGCAGGGAGAACTCCTAATCTGAGGAGTTATTGTCCTATGACCAAAGGTGTAGGAAGATAATGCAACTTGTTTGCTATCAGAGAAGCCTCTCTTGGTCCAACAAACAGAACGTCCATGCAAGTCTCCTTCCTTTTATCCATTGTGCCACGTCTGGAAACCAGAACTGGGGGGTCACCACATTCCCAAGAGGACTTTTGCTCCTCCCAAACCCCACCAGGAATACAAACTGTACCAGGCAACAATGCTTTTCTTCTGTGGGGCAGAAACTTCCCTCTGCCCTGGGAGTTCCTCAAGAATTTGCAGCACCAACCACGCCAGAAGATTCCTGGATAGACCTTAAAAGGCATTTTGGGAAGCACATCTCTGCCATGGCTAGCGCATAACTGAGTTTCTAGAGAACAGAGGAGGGACAGGCTGGGCAAGCAGAGCTGTGTTTGGGCCAGAGGTTCTCAAAAATGCCTGTTCCATTGCCACCAAAATCCTGTTTCTTACTGCAAGTTATTCCTGAGGAATCAGTTCCACTGCCTGGCAGCAACGGAGAAAAATCCCGGGCAAGAAGAACACGTGTTCACCCCAAATCCACTTCCATTTACACACAGACACTGCGGCAACACTGATTTGAGGCTTCCCTGTTGCTCTGCCACCCTTGAAAAATGTCTTTTGGAGGTGCAAATTCACCTTCTGGGCACAAGGGGACGGGACAGACAAGGGGACAGGGCAGTGCCGGAGCCCAGCGCGGTGCCTCACCGCCGGCACGCGCGCGCTCGACTCCCGATGGCAGCTGAGCTCCAGCTGCACACGGATTCCCATCCCAGGCAGAGCCAGGAGAGCACGGCGTGGGCAGGTTTTCATTCAACAGCGGAGGAACAGAGCGAGGAACCGAAAGCAAAGCCCCCACCTTTATTAATTGCACTATAAATATTCAGTTTAGCTCGGCACAATCCGGAGCTGGAGCTCCGGTGCATTAGTCACTCCGACTGCTCCTGTGGGGAACAGGAGCCTTTCCATGAGAGGGGATCTCAGGCAGCAGAGAAAGGCTTTCCACAGGGAACTCACCGCTTCCAGCATAGAGGAAACCAGGGAAAGAGGAATTTTAAGGAGTTTTGCCTTTCAGTTATAACATCTCCTCCCTTACGCTGGGACCCGACGGCTCAGCTGAGCTTCACATTCCAGGCTCTATCCGGGACCTCCACGTCAAGCAGAGGTATCATAAGCAGTAACTTATTTATTTATTTATTTGTTTGTTTGTTTATTTATTTAGTATTAAATTTTAATTGTCAATTGTTGAACTATTTTATTTCTTTAATATGCATTTATGTATTTGTTTTATTTATATCGCTAATATTATTCACTTTTCATGATAAAAACGGGAGGAGAGCAGAGGGTTTGCCCTGTCGTGTATCTCAGGGCAATCTCACTTGTCAGCTGCACTCACTTGTCAGCTGCAGAAGGTGCCCTAGAGCTGGATTTTCCCCTGTCCTCAAACCACCACCTCCCTGCTGGAGTCTGGGATCTGTGTTTCTTCCTCCGTGGAAGCTTCTGCAATTCAAATGAGGAAAAGACTGGAGACAAGAGTCGGGGCAAGTTTGTTCCAAGGCGCTGTTCCCAAACCAAGCAGACTTCAAAGGGGTCAGAACAGCTGCTTTCAGTGGAGTTCCACGAGCTTTTCATCCTCCCAATGCCCGCAGTGAATCAAACTGCTCCTCAAATCAACTCAAAACAGTGGAACAGTCTTGAAGCAGCATTTCACTTTTCAAAACAGTTTATCTGGAGGCAGCAGTGTGCCAAGGGGAGGCAACAGCAAAGCTACTGCAGGGAAGGAGCATCTTGATGGAGCATGGGATGTGGACATGGGTTACCTATTGCCCTTTGCTTCCTACACCGCCAAAAATAAGGTGAGACTGGAAAGATGGGAAGTCCTCGTATGTCACAGACTCATAGAACAGTTTAGGCTGGAAAGGACCTTAAAGCCCATCTCATTCCAAATCCCTGCCATAGGCAGGGACACCTTCCACTAGCCCAGGTTGCTCCAAGCCCTGTCCAACCTGGCCTTGGACACTTCCAGGGATGGGGCAGCCACAGCTTCTCTGGGCAACCTGTGCCAGGGCCTCCCCACCCTCCCAGAGAACAATTTCTTCCCAATATCCCATCCAAGCCCGCCCATTTCCCCTTGTCCTGTTCCTCCATCCCTTGTCCCAAGTCCCTTTCCAGCTCTCTTGGAGCCCCTTCAGGCACTGGAAGGGGCTTCAAGGTCTCCCCAGAGTCTTCTCTTCTCCAGGCTGGGAGTGTTCACCCAGAAAAGGTTGCTGGGAGACCTTAGAGCCCCTTCCAGTGCCTGAAGGGGCTCCAGGAGAGCTGGAGAGAAACTTGGGACAAGGGTGTGGAGGGACAGGACACAGGGAATGGCTTCCCACTGCAGGAGGGCAGGGTTAGATGGGATATTGGGAAGGGATTGTTCTCTGTGAGGGTGGTGAGGCCCTGGCACAGGTTGCCCAGAGAAGCTGTGGCTGCCTCAGCCCTGGAAGTGTCCAAGGCCAGGTTGGACAGGACTTGGAGCAACCTGGTCCAGTGGAAAGTGTCCCTGCCCATGGCTGGGGGGTGGAATTGGATGAACTTTAAGGTCCCTTCCAATCCAAATCATTCTGTGATTCTGATTCCCCATGTCCAAAAGCACAGCACAAGGTTCATCAGATAATTTGAACAATTTTATGGAGGTTATTTCTGCTGAAAATCTGCACTTGACCAAGACTGCAGATGAACCAAAGTCCCCCAACTTTGAACTAAGTTATCTACATTTTAAAATGTACACAAAGAGGTAAAAAGTCAGGCAACTATTTATCTTCTGTGGCTTTTAGATGCAAATCTATTTTCTGAAGATAACAAATAAGTATCTTATCTTTGTATCAGCCTTACTACTCCTGGCTGCTTTTAACCTACGAAGTCAGAGTCTAGAAGTTCCTTCCCCTCACAGACAAGAGGAAAATCAGCTTTCAGCAAATCTGTGGGTTGGAAGATGCTTTGAGCTTCCACTGAGCACGTAGGACTGTCACACTCCACAAAATGTTCCAGAGTTCAGAGACTCCAGTGCATTTTAGGGGGAATTTGAGGGGAAAAAATGACCATAAAACTCTGAAAGGTCTAATTTATCAGAATCTAATCCAGCCGTCCATGTACAAAACTTCAAAGAGAAGTTTCAGGTAGTCCAAGCCTTCACCTCAGAAAATTCATGATTAATTTGCTATGCAGCTCCCTAAAGGCAAAATTACTCCAGAGCAGCACCAAGAAACTGTTCAATAACAACATTTATGCTGAAAAACGTTATTCTTCTCCAGGTTGTCCCGGAGTTGCTAAACTGAATTTGCTCCACGTGAAGAAAAAAGTCACCTTTGGGCACGTGAAAATCCACCTGAAGAGAGAAGTTTGATGAAGCTACGGCACTACAACGAAAGCTTCTTGTTAATTATTTTTATTATTTTCTTTTTAAATTATTTTATTTTTATTCGTATTTTAACGTCGGGGGTTTTTTGCAGGTTTTGGAGGACTTTTTTTTCCGTTGAGTTACAGCACAAAGCCTGTGTTGTGTGACTCACCAGGGACGCTCAGCTGCTGTTCCCAGTGCTGGTGACCTCCTACGCTACAGGAGCTCGTTTTCCACCATGGAAAACCCCCGACTGACTCCAGATGACTACAAGTCATCTCGGTGGGGGAGCTCACGTGTGGAACACGCCCTGAAGGGTCTGTGAGCCCGGCTGCTGTGGCTCACTACCCCCACAGATGGATCCACAACCTCCCCGCGGGTTTTACAACCCTAAAGACTGGCAGAAAGCAGCACTGGATGGAGTAAATCCAGCACAATTCCTTTCATTTTTGGGAATGCTCCGTGTTATTGTTGGCGAGGGGGATCCGCGTGCTCAAAGCGCCCAGAACGCTCCAGTGTTTGCTACATTAAACCCAGCCAAAAGGTTACAAATAAGGTCTGGAAAGTTATAAAAATGAAAATAAAAGGCTCCCAAGCTTTGGCATGCCTTCCCACCGAGGAAGGGAGCTTTTCTTGTGGATTTTATCCGTGGTTTAAGTCCTTGCATCCACGTAGTAAGCCTCGTTTCGTGTGCTGAACGGCAAAGCCAAGGAGAAACAGAGCTGCGAAGCTTTTCAGCTGTTCTGAGGTAACGGGAATAATGCATAAAGCAGATTCAACTGTATGAATAGTCTTGCACAATGTATTTATAATTATAATCAGAAGTTTCAAATATCCTCCCCTCCTGCACAACGTCCCCAGGGAAACACATTCCAGGGTAAAACATTCATAAACTACTTACTGCGCGTCTTCTGAAGACTCCTGTTTTATCTTTAATGTTCTTTTTGTGGTAGGCATTTCATCTGAAAGGTAAAATTCCAACACATAATTATATTTTAAATAATGCACTTAGGGCTTTTTTTTTTTCTTTTTTTTCCAGAGGCTGAAATTAAATAAAAAACAAATCAGAGTTGCTTCCTAAGCCAGGCGGTCTGCTGGAGTTCTGCACGAGACAGTTCCAGATCCTAAACCCTCTGTAATTGATTTGGTTTTTCTTTAACTTGGAAGGGATGCTGTCAGTTAAGATCTGAATCTCTCCCTGCAAGTGCAAAACCTTTCAAGGACAAGGCTCCAACCCCTGCTGTTAAATCACAAATCGACTGAATCGCAAACTGCATTGTTTAAAGAAACAGGGAAAAAAAATAGGAAAAAAACTAGGAAAAAGAGAGAAAAAAGGCAATTCTGCTTCCAATGGCACAGCTGAAGACAGGCAGCAGCAGAACTGCATCTGTGTTGCATTCAGATGCTGCGTGCCAAGTGCTTTGCTCACAGCTTCTGAGCACGAAGGACATCGTCAGCCCCGGCGCACGCAAACGGCCCCGAGAGCGGTGACAAACCAGGAGATCCCGCTTTGACTCACCAAAACAAGGCAAACCAGACAGGACTGGCCGTCATTTACATACGGTTTGTAACGTTTTCTTCTGCCCACCGTTTCTCTCCCACGTATTTCTGATTTTTAAATCCCCCAGGGAAGAAGTCTGAGGCACCGGAATGCACTCAACAGCCAACTTGAAAATTTTAATGTTAAACTGTGATTTAAGGCTCTTTCAAAGCATCCTGACTCACCAGTCCCTTAAACACAGATGTGAACACATACCCGACTGCATCTCCTCTCCCTCTTTCATCCTACAAATGTGGGGGGAAAAAAGCCTTTATCTAATTCACCTTCTTCACTTGCAACTCCATTGAATTTGATCAACTTAAAGTTTCCTGTGCTCAGGCAAGGGAGGAACACACACACATAAGAGCAGTGGCTCAAGAGGGAAAAATAAGCCTAAAGAAAGCCACTTCTTCCCAGAACTGCTCAGACTGGTGTGCATTTTCCATTGGGAATGTGGCACCTCGCTCTGTTTAACAAAGTTCAATAACCCACAAGCAAAAACTAAACCTCCAAATTAATTAATAGACTGATTCTTATGCAGAGACAGCAATAATTCAGGCAAGAAAAGCATGTGGAAGAGTTTGGTTTAGGTCTCAATCCTCAAGTGTGAGCTTGCTTGCTATTTTTGTATTTAAGAAAGGCCACATGCCTGGATATAAACATGTTTAATTTCAATATATCAGGGTATAGAGGAAGGAACAACACTTTTTTATAGTTGTTGGTGTCACCAGCAGCAGGTTGAAGCCCTATTCACAATTTAAGCAGATGGTGTTTGAGTGATAACACTCAGGTACCACTGAAAGGGAATTTTACTTCCCTTGACGGGAAGTAAAACTGAGAGAGGAAGGAATGACAGGGAAGGTGTCACCTCCTCCACCATTTCTGGCCACACAGCCCTTCTTTCCTCCTGCCAAGCTCTTTGAACTCCAGTCCTGACCCTAAAATGCTTCAAGAACCACGTGTTGCTTTTGACTGACCGGGGGATTTCTGCCCCTTTTCTCCCCAGGGATGTGTTTGGCACCCTGAGGACATCACACACAAGAGATGAAAGCTGGTACTGAGACACATTTGTGTGAGACAGGCACGAGCACAGGTAAAATCCAAGGCTGGAGATGTGCCAGGCTGGGATTTCTTACCCAATTCCTGCTCGCCGGTCTGGTAGCAGTGAAGGTCCTGACTGTGGTTTCCCCAGTCCTCCTGGGAATACTCCTCCATCGTGCTGCCATCCGACTCCAGCTCCTGGTACAAGCCGCTGCTGTTGATGAGGACGGGCTGGCAGGGCTGGGAGTCCCATCCTCCCTGCCCAAACACCTGCTCCAGCTGCTCGAACGTGTAGCTGCTTTTCCTCTTCCCCACGCCGTGCTCCTTCACGCGGCTGTAGCACCTGCGGAGGGTCTGAGACAGGGAAAAGCAGGTTAAGCCACGGGGTGCTGGGCTGGATGACCACACAGGCACCTGCAGACAGTCACAGGGCTGCCAGGCAGAGTTTAGGGGCTTGGGGGTTATTTCTACTGGTCATATTTGCCCCACGCTCACGAGCAACGCTCCCAAATTAATCTACACCCACCAGGAAGCATCGTTATGTACCCGACGTTCCCGCTTGGCATTAACGTTACTACAACAGAGGACAAGTTGTGTAGCAGCTACAGGTTCCTTGGGTTTAACTTGGCTGATTTATTCTCTTTCCCACTTATAAAAAAAAAAAAAAATAAAATCCCCAGATGTGCTATGGGCGCAGGGAAAAAAATAAAATAAATCAAAATACCAAGAGCCCCCCAGTCAGAGACACCAACCAGCCAGGAAAATGCACACCTACTACAAGGAGGAGAAAGCAGAGCTGGTGTTGTGCCCACAGCTTGGAGAGGGGGAAGCAGGGAGGAGAGAGAAAGGAAAGAGAAAGATTTCCCCCAAAGCAAAGACAGTCCAACCTTCCTTACTCTGGTAAGAAGACACAAGGTACAAAATGGATATGCCTAAGCTTTTCAGCTAGAAAAATATATATTACTTACACATTTTTGCATTCCTTACTAACTCACTCTGTCTCTTGTGAAGCTGCTGAAATTTAAAAGAGGTCAAATCAATAATGCTCCCAATTCCCAGACTTCCATATCAAGCATTAAGTAAGAAACAGCACTGAGGTGGCTCGGTCTGAGCAGCCTCTCAAACAGTGCTGGGGCCAAACCTCCCACACAGATGCAAAGGGCTCATCTGCCTTTGGTGATCCCTTTGACATCCCACACCAACGGCTGAGCTGCTCCACAAGTTCCATCCACCTTTTCCCCCCTAATCCAGAGCAACATACAACTATTTGGGGGCAAAAAAACTAAAGCTTAATACGCAGGTCTCGACATGGTTTTAATTCTAATGCTGCTCTACTTTTGAAAGGCCCCAGGTTTGCTGGAACTTGATGGCTTTTGGATTGGTAAAGTGCTAGAAAACATTAATTTTTTAAAATGAAATGTATTAGATTGTTGGGGTTCTAACCTGAATGGCAAAGCTGCCTCTGGAATTCAAGAGAGGCAATAATTTGGGAAGAGCTAGTACTGTTGCTTTCTGGAGGAGGACTGTAACAGACACATCATTACAAAAAAACACTAGTTTTATTCCCCAAAAAGGAACTTTTACGACTCCAGAAAGCTGGAACCTACCTAATGCTCCTCATATGCTGGTTTAACAGCATCAGCAGGAAAGGGATACATTTCTAACCAGTTTCCTCCTGAGATTCAGAGCCCTGGGAGCAGAAGCAAAACTGCTAAGCAGCAAGTCAGTATTACCCTGCTGTTTTAAACAAAAACACACAAAAATTAACACAAAACAAAAACCAACCCATATAAACACACAGGCAGCAACAGGCACCAGTGGTTTACAGTGGTTTGAGGTGGAACCCTTCCCACTTTTGCCTTTGCTACCTCAGGATAAACAGACAGATCCTCTTTGGATGGACACCAGCACATTTTAAGCTTCTGTCTGTGAGCTGGGGGGAAAACAACTGGCTACAGCAACCTGGAACCAAAACCTGGCCTTGAAACCTGTCAGCACCCACTAGGTGTAAAGTGGTTTCCCTCAGGCTGTAGGTACAGCTATATTTGCTTGCTAAAATTCAGTTTCCTCACTCCAATTTCTCTCCTTTCAGCTCAAATCTCACCAAGTGATATCTCAAACTGCCCGAGCGATAAGAGCAAACTCTTGTTTCACTCACAGACTCCTTCTAAAATCCACCCCAAGTCAGATCTTCTTAAAAATATATTTCCCAAATCCCAGTTCTTGCGTCTGCCCTGGCTTATCCACCAGAGTTAAACACAGATTTAGAGCCTCTAGCTGAATTTATTAGCAGCCTTTAAGCGACACAAACTGTCTCCTAAACACCCCTACTCCTGGCCAAGCCCTCTGGGAACGCTCGACACCCACAGCCACTCTATTTTCACACTCTATTTTCAGCCTCTGCTTCCAACACCGATGGGGCTATGGAGGATCTCACACTGGGTTGTAGCCCAGTAGTAATTAATTATTTCAGTCAGGCTGCAAACTGGCTTATTTTACTATGAAAATAATTTAGCAGCAAGTCAATGAAGGCTAGTGGAATAACTAAAGGGAGCAAAGCAGAAAGGGGGGACAAAACTAAATGAGCAATAGTGTCACTGCTCATTACTCCTGCAGGTCCAGAGTACTTTTGGGGATACTGCCCAGATGCTCACCTGGGTGTGTTACCTCTGCTTCTGCCAGCAGATAACCAAAAATTTGAGGGAGATAATCTCAAATTTGGGGCTTTCCAAAGCACCAAAAGGCCTATGGCCAAGCAGCTGGTGGCTCCTTGGTCTTGTCTGCTGGAGAATCGAGATTCCTGCTAACTCTTTCTTCTTGGAGATTCTTCCCAGTGTCTCCAACAGGCAGTCCCTACTAATTTTTCTGATGTTCCCTCCCAGTGCCACAGGTCAGCCTCGTTTCACATAAGCCCCACAGCCTTCTCTTCTACAGAGACTCTGGAAAGACCTAAATAATTGCTCAGACTTCAGGAAACCTGGAGAGTTTTTAGCCCTTAACCTTTCTCCCACCGGGTTATTCTGATCTCCAAGATCTAGGATCTGGTTTTGTCTTACGCACCTCCTCTACTCCTCCCGGTGTCCAGCTCAACTCCTGCTCCGTGGTTCCTAAAGTGCACATACACATATTGATACAGATACACAAGAAACCAGGAAATGTAGGACAAGTAACTGAAAACAGACCTGATCACTGCCCAGTGACTGCCCAGACTGGAAGAGATCGAGGCTTTTGCTTATTGTTCTGCAACACTGCCTGCAACACGAAGACAGATTATCCCCACTTAATTTATAATTAGGAAAACCAAAGGAGGAGACAGTCACAAAGCTCAATGTGGATTTTCTCACCATTTCTAACTCATGAGTCCTCATCTCTACGAGTGAAGCCACCGGAGAACCTGGACCTCTGCAGGAACTGCAGGATGAGGATCAGAGAAGCCTTAGGGAGTGACTTTAGGAAGGCTGATATCACAGTCCTCCCTCCAGCAAAAAATGAGGGAGAACCACACCACAGTGAGCTTTTTATACATAACCTGAGGTGGTCTAACACAAGGAACTCCAGATCCCTGAGCTGAGACATGCTCTTACTCAGGGAGACACCACAGGCTCTGCAGAGCAATTTTGGTGGCCTGTGGCTGTGTCCACAATCATCTCTTTAAGCTGAATAACAGCAGCCTAAAGGGGTCCCTATGGCCCTGAGCACCGCTCAGCAAAACACTCAGCTCCAAAGATGCTCTTTTACTTAATGGGAGAGAGGAGCTCTCAGCTCTATATCCCAAAATAAGAACAGCAGTATCAAACAGCTCCCTCCCTCACCATGCCAGGATACTCACAGGCAACATGAGATGAAACTACACTGGGACAAAAGAAATGGCTTTTGAAGCCTGGAGTGGTTGTAGGGGACAGTGAAAGGTCTTGAACTCTCCATTCCTGAGTTCCCGGGAGCAGAAGGAAACAGAAGTGGTGACAGCAGTCTGATAGCTCCAGCTCAAGAGCTTTTAGATTAAAAGCTGTGTGCAAAGCAGGAGAACACAAGGCACACACTGGGTATCACCACAAGAAGCCCTGTTTGTGTGGTTTATCCAAAATACAAACAGAACAGCAGCACCCCAAACTCTCAAGTCACACAGCACTGCAAAATGCAGCTGGACAGCCTCGACACATCTCCAGCAGGAGGAACCAAGCTGGAATGCTCCTCTGCAGAACACGAGAGCCCTGCACACACACAGCCCCCTGAGAGCTCAGCGTGGGCCCCAGGAGCTGCTGCAGCCTTGTCTGCAAAGGCTCCAGCCCCACAGCTGGAGCACATCTGCCCCAGCACAGCACTGGGGTCACACCAGCCGTCACAGTGGACCATGCTCTGCACCACAGAGCGAGGCCTCAGCTGTATCCCCACATACCTGAACACACAGGGACTTCCTGAAGGATTTGGTTCTCGGACAGAAAAAGAAAAGTGACAGGAAAGAACCTTTTCCTGACATCCAGCCTAAATGGATGAGATGCCTGAGTAAGGTTCAACCTGCTCCTGGCAGAACCTGTTCAAACACTTACTTTGGAGTGATGAAGGCCACATCTGACCAAGTTATCTTGCCTTTGGAAACAAGCTCATTCCTAAAATCAAACCTGAAGTTTCGTGCATCCACTGTGATCAGGACAAGCATCTTCACACCACCCACAAAACCAGATTTTTATGGAAAACCCAAAACTACAGCAGCCTGGATCAAAAGAGGTCCGAGAAGCACTCAAGAGGTCACATTTGTGCAAGTCACGAGAGACCACAGACTCAAAGCCTTGCTGGTCCTTGCTCTCAAATGAATGGAGTGAGGCCACAAGCCTGTCCAGAAGAGGAAGAGCAGCACAAACCATTCCACAGGTGAGAGGGAAAATGCTCCTCTCCAAAACAAGCTGCAGTCAAGTGGCTGAAAGCATCAACATGGGCAGCACCACGAGGGAGACACCTCACGTAGTTCAGAAGGCTAAAACCTTTGCCATCCCACCCGGTCCTAGCAGTGTGTTGTGCCCATCCTGGGGCTCAGGGTCTCTAGAGGAAGGTCCATGCCACTTCAGCTCTGCTGTTATCAGGGGAGAGCAATCCCTAAATCCACAGGAACAGCTGGAAGTGAAATACCAAAGAGGGCTTGAACCCCAGTGTTCACCAGGACCAGTGGTCAAGGGTTGGTAACAGGTGAGACCACAGCAGTCCAGAAAGCATCATCTGCTTGGCCCCAAATGATACACTCAGCAGGAGGGAGGTTCTGCTGGTGTGCCAGTGCTTGAAGCTGTGTGCAAAAATCAGGAGGATTTTTAACACCTTCCCAAGTCCTCCATAGTCAAAGAGCATGACAGGAAAAAATTGTGTGCGCCCAATCTAGGATTTAATGTTCAAAAATCTCAAAAATGAGACTTAATGCTCAAGCTTAGCAAATTTGTCCTTCTGCAACAATTTCCTGACCATCAACTGTTTCTGTCTCAACAAGATAAATCCACCAGCTCGCTCCCAGCTTCCTCAGGGAATCATTCTGCACCCATGGAACGAGCAGTGGATGACCCAGGTGTACCAGAATGACCAGACCAGACTATTACAGACACACAACATGGCTACACAAGCCACTGGATTGTAAAGACACTCATCCTGCCTGTGCAATTCCAGCCAGATTCTTACGGGCACGACAGTGCTCCACAAATACCCCGACTGAGGAGAGCGGGTCCAAGAGGGTTTGCTCCAGATGATGCTCATCTCCCTGAGATCCTCCTCTGCCACAGCCCCACAAATGAGTAAAACAACTAAATCTGCTCTTTGTCACTGGAGAGTTTATTTTTCCTGGCTATAAATGTCAACAGAAAGTTGCTCCCACCTACGGGGGCCCGTGAGATCCTCCAGCGAGAAGCTGGGCTGTGGGAAAGGATTCAAGGGAAGAAACAACCTAGCCTGGAAAACACAGTGCATCTGCATCTATCTAAGCCAAGGAAAGAACCAAAGGTAACTTAAACATCTGCATGTGCTGTAGCCCAGGGAGCTACTGGGACAGTGACTGAGACAAACTCAAGATGAAGACAGACCACATTCACAAGAAATACAATCATAGAATGAGCTGGGTTGGAAGGGACCTTAAAGCTCATCTCATTCCAAATCCCTGCCATGGGATCCACTACACCAGGTTGCTCCAAGCCCTGTCCAACCTGGCCTTGGACACTTCCAGGGATGGGGCAGTCACAGCTTCTCTGGGCAACCTGTGCCAGGGTCTCACCAGGGAGAGTTTTGTCTTAATATACAATCTAACCCTACTGCTGACACTGTGGAGCCATCCCCCCTTCTCCTGTCACTATATGCCCTTGTAAAAAGTCCTTTTCCATCTTTCTTGTAGGCTCAAACCAAAGGCAAAGCTGCTTTGAAGGTGGATGGTTGGCTGGTTGCTACAAAACGCACCAGTGCTCCACCAGTTGAGATCTTTTAATTTAAAGACAGCAGCTCCACTCAACCCTATTGGACCCAAGGATGGGATTCTGGGTGAAATCCAACCTCCTGTAACGTGCAGCAGGTCATACTAGATCACAGCAGGTGTTGCTTCTAAGATAGCCTCGTTAAAGCAGCTTTTCCTGCCTTAAAAATGGCTTCATGCAAGATTTACAAACAGACAGTTCACATGGTAAAGCAGCTAAAACCACAGCCCTGTTACAAATGAGCCCTCCACACGCTGCTTAAAGCAAGAAACACCAACAGCTGATAGCCAGGTGTAATTTTTCATTCCTTCCCCAGCATTCACGTGTAATTTTCCATCCCTTCCCGTTCCATGTGGGTTCGTAGCAGTCCCAGCTCCTCTTTGTTCCTATGTCCTTCCCGAGCTCTGCACCAGCCTCTTCAAGGTACAGAAAATCCAACAACAGGGCAAGTGGGACCAGCAGCAAGACTTGGGAATTCCTGCAGCTGGCAGTTAAGATGTTGGAGCTGCTTCTCTTTGAATCAATGGCTTGGCATCGACTCTGGGAAAGGCAAAGTGAAAGCAGAACTCGCATTTCCGCGGGAGCTGAAGAAAAACGACGTGTTGAAAATGCCCCCAAATTAGTTTTAATGGCAACTTTTAAGGAGGGATTTGTCTTTGCTCAGGAAAGGCTCTCCAGCTGCACCCACAGCCAGAGGACTTCCAGCCCTGAAACACTTTCCCATCTCAGCTAAGCAAAGTGCCATCAGGAGGGTGAGTCTTTGATTCCGTGAAGATGGGAGCAACAGAAGCAGAAATCCTTCCATGGGTTTAAAAAAATGCCTAAAATTCAGTTCTGAAAACACATCCGGAGCCCATTATTTTAAGAACACTCCTTTAAAACAAAACAAGTCTTTATTGCCTGAAAATGCCCCTTGTGCAGCTCCAACTGCACCACCCGAGCTCACCTGAGCTCATTTTCTCATAGTTAAGCTCCCAGCAAACCTCCTGCTGCCTGTGCCCGGCTGAAACAGCACCATCAGGTGCAGGGCACAGGATCCTGGCAAGGGTTTGGCCAAATACTCCATCACCTGCCTGAAAACCCCGGCCCAAAGGTCAAACCTGAAAACTACAGGGCTCTCCATGAGCTGCTGTGGGGAGGTGATGAGTTTCAGGATAGACAAACCAGGGTAAATCCTTGCTCAGGAACACAGGGAGGAGGGCTGGATGAAAAGCATGTGTGAATGGCTCCTCAACATGAGCTCCGTGTCATAGGGACAGTCAGGGCGTGCTGCTGAACAAGCAAGGATTAAGGATACGGTGTGACACGAAACTGTGGTGCACAGGACAGCTTTTCTGGGAGTGCAACAGGCAGAAATCAAGATGTTTCACTTCTCCTGTGGCTCCTGATTGCTGAGCTCACCAAGCCACCGACCTCGGAGCCACCAAGTCGCACTCAAGGTCTCTTTCTGAAGGAAGAGCTGCTGGAATGGTTACATGTGAATCCCTAAATTTGAAACAGACCCTTCCAGAGCAGCTCCAACCCAACAGCAGCCTCGTTCCAGCGGCTGATGTGCAGAAAAACACATGCAGATGGTGAGGGATGGGTGAAAATCTGCAGTGGGACCTTCCTGCTCACCCTGTTTGAATTAGGAGGGAACATATCCACGCCATACAACTGGAAAACTCTCTGCTTCTAAGCTGACTTGTTCCTTTCCAGCTAAACTTGCTCCTCAAGACTTGGCTGTGGCCAGGGAAGGCAGGTATCCCAAAGGAACCCAGTGTCAAGCCCTTATCTAAAATGCATTTATAATGTCAGCTGAACAGGGTATGTCTGAAGCACCATTTACATTTATAATCCAGCAGCAAAGCCTCACACTGCCCTTCTCTGACAGGCATTAAGTATCCCATAAAATCATGGAAATACAGAACATTATGGATAAGGAAGGGATGGAACATGGATAACTCCCAGCCAGGCATCACGGTGTTGAAGGAGAGCCCACCCTGACGTACTGTGGTCTACAAACATCCAACAGGTCTGCCAAGAGCTGCTCCCGGTGATAAACATCACCCTGTGCCCTTTCACTGCTGTTTGACTGGTGGTTTCTTTCAAGCTGGAACATTTCAGTAGTAAGGACCTGTTCAAGCCTCACTTTTGAAGGGAAGGGGGGAGAATCCTCAGCTGCAAGGAGCTCCAACTGCTGGGAGTCACCCAAACACTCGCTCCAGCCACAAGGC